ATATATATATATATGGATGTGTATACACACACATGCATAGCTCCTTATTTTTACAGATGAGAAAATACATTTTTTTTTTTCCGGAGTAGTTGAGTTTTTCTAAGTTTCTGTCCGTCATCATCTTCTCTTTTAACTCTTTACATTCTCTCTAGACAAATTCAACTATTCTCATGCCTTCAACATTTTTGTGGTCAAATCTTTACCTCTTTAGCAGATTATTTTCCTTAGCTCCTGACCTATATGTCCAGCTGTCCACTGGACTGTCCATCAGTAGCCTAGGAGACCTTGACCTTGGTATCAGTTTTCATGTGTCTATTCCCCTGCCCACTTCTCAGTGCTTATCTCCAACATATCTCTAGGTTAACTGGATCACCATCTCTTTAGACAGGTGGCTGTCGCATATGTCTCTTCATTCTCAGTGCCAGATCTTCCTTAGTTTCCAGTGCCATTTCTGTATACATATTTCTCAACTCTTTTCTTTCCCAGCCCATGACTCATCCTTCTTCGGATAAGGGCTACATCATGTGTCTCCTGGGCTGGGGCATGAGTTTCTTCTTCACTGCCCTTTCTGCCATCTTCCTGTCCCTCTGCATTCCCCCTCCTTGGAGAAGGGTAGTGAGCACTATGCAACTTAGAGCAGGCAGCTGGGATCACAGGCTTTGGGGTCATAATTCCTTAGTTTTGAATCCCAGCTCTGTAAACTCATAAGCAGTAGAACCCTGGACAATCTGGTTGCTTTCTTTAAGGTTTGAGTATTCTTACCTATAAATGGAATGATAGTAGTACCTCCCTCATAAGGTTGTAGTGAAGCTAAAATGACATAATGCATGTAAATGTTTAGCTCACGTCTGGCTTATAGGATGCTCTGAATGTTTGTCAGAATCAATGAGAAATCTAGAATCTCAAACTCTTTCATTAATTTGTCCAATGGGATACTAATTGAATTTTATTTAAAAAAGCAAGGGGAAATGTGATTTTAAAAACTCCAGTATTAAAAAGTTACTCTAAAGCTATTTGATGTTAATTTTTTTAATGGATTGCTGTGTGGTACTTCTTCTTAGAGACATCTGATGTTCTCAGGCCATTGTTCTTCATGAAGAACAGCTAGATTTCCAGTCACGGCAAAGCTAGTCAATGAGCTTCTTGGTATATGGTTTATATTGTGAAATAAATTTTTAGTAACCATCTAAGATTATTTGCAGTTTTTATTGAAGTTTTATGAATTGTTACTGACAAAGCAATATAGGCAAAATCTAGGCCCTTGGTTACTGATACTTAGAGCTTGTCTGTTAATGGCATTAGATTTGGTAGAAACGGTTTCTTGGAGGTCAGGTCCCCCTTTTGAACTTGGTGAAAGAAGTTTATGTATTAGCTGCTGTAGCGGACACTGTGGTGTTCAGCCCAGCTTTCCCTTCAGAACTGACGTGCTCATTCTCCCCCGCAGCTGTTGTTGGCTGATGGCTCTCAGCTGATTCTCCCTGTGAAAATTACCCTCAGCTAAAGAGGCCACCTTTCCCATAATCATGACCCTTTCCTATGCCCCTTTCCATTTTATGTAGCCAGCATAAAATGAGTAGTCTGTTGTGAGGATATAGAGTCTTCTCCCCTCGCCTCAGACTGGAAAAACCTGAAGGGCCACCTGGGTTCCAGAACTTCTCAGAACTTCTCATGTGGTCCGCTGAGGCCTTCGTTGTGACTGCTTCACAGTTAAACTCCTACCGCTGCCTAGTCCTGCTTCCCTAACTCCCCTGCAGGTGCTGATCTGGAGCTATCTCCAATAAATCTTCCTGGGGGAGCCAATCTAAGACCTATATATTTTTTATGTTTTAATAGCTTGATACCATCTCTGGATGAGTTGCATATTTTATAGAAAACAGAAAGATAGGTATTATATATATTGATGAATGCTTTTTGTTATAAACATGTGGTTCTTCAGCAGACAACTGAATTTAAAGTCAGCAACTCCAAAATGAAATTTATTATTTTGAGTCCAGACTTAATGGATCTTCTATAGGGACATATTCTGCAACTAGTTTATTCTGGAGGATTCACTAGAAAATTATTGCTTAAAATTAGACATTGACTTTTTGTTAAATGACTGCAGTGGCATTTATAGCCTTTGGTTGAAATTTTTCCAGGCTAAAGTTATTGGTTTTGAAACATTAATGCCTTATTATATGTGAGAAAAAAAAGTTTCTTGAACAATTACATATGGAATATCCTATAGCCTCCTCTTAGAGACCCACAGTGCACATTAGTCTAAGGTCAGTGAGAGATTCTGCAATAAAGAAATTTGTTTTATCTTTCCTACTCTCCCGCCTTCTGCAGAACACTCATTGCAGGACATTTTTATTTGTTTATATGAATATAAAGTATAACTCAATTTAAAATGTAAAGGTCTTAAGTCTATAGTTTGAGTTTTGAAAAATATATGCATGTATAACCATCATTCAAATCAACATAACCATAATTTCCATCACTTCTGAAAGTTCCCTCATGTCCCATTTTAACTTGACTTAAGTGGAAACATGTAGTATATACTCGTTTTGTATCTTGCTGCTTTTGCTCAATAGTATGGCCTGGACTCTTGAGGAATCAATCATTTATTTATTATTTTCTTGTTCAAAGAAACTTAGACTAGATCCTTGTTTTGTTTGTCCTTTTTAGGCTCTTAACTTTTTAAGACAGTGGCAACCTTAATCTTCACTCAACTGATTGTATCTAGTTTTGCTCTGAATTGGCAGCATAGAATTCTTTTACTCCATATTCTTTCTTAAGAGTATGTCCCTGACGTTTCTGTTGTCCAAATATTATTAATGGTTTGAGAATGAGAACAGATTTTCAAAGATTCCCTGAATGAAATGTAATCCATTACTTTCTTTGAATGTTCCAATTCTCAGGTCTGGAATAACCCAGACCACCTGACCACTGCAAGCTTGGAAAACAATGTCTTGAATTGCCTTCTATTATGCCATTGGCTTGTATCAAAAGAAGCAACTACTTGAAAAATGACTGTCATCTATCTTTTCAATTTTCTCACAGCGATATTTAGTTTAA